GGCGGTGCTGCGCCTGCGCCCGGCGTCACGTGGGTGCTCCTTCCTGCCGCCATCTTGGAGGGGAAGGGGGTGTTGCTAGGCGACGGGGGGGCAACATGGCGGGAGGTCTGTGAGGAGAGGGGGCGCGACGCCCCTTTTCTCCATGAGCCCGAGGGGCACGTCACCCCTCAGCACCCTTCTGCCATGGCCTCCCCTCTGCCCCCCGGCCTGGTTCAGAGGGGAAGACATAGCAGATAAAAATAAACCTCCACGCCACCCTTCTGGCAGCGCAGATCGGGAATTCAGGCACCGAGTGTGCAGCATTCACGCAGCCCCACAGCTTGCAGCATATGGGGAAGCACAGACAAGCATTAACACTCCCACTGCAAATAGCAAGAAGGGTTTGAGTTTGTCTGAGGGCCGAGGGTGACCCCAGCCAGCACAGCTTGCTGGGTTTAACCCTTCTGCAGAGGTGGGCAGCTAAGGACAGAGGCACTCATCAAAACATGAGGATTTTGCAGCAAAAAACAGCCCACCTGAAGCCTTGAGGCATAGGCCAGGAGCACTGCTGCCTGACAGCCCCCCTGGAAGCACTCAGGCAGCGCTGAGGAGCAGAGCAAGCAAGTCTGATGCATGCTGCAACCTTTCTTCCTTAGAATAGCATTTATTTTTAAAAACCACCACAGAATTTCAAGATCTGTTTTCTTTAGCTGCAACAGCATTTCTAAAAATTGTGCTTGCCACTCGGAGCTGGCAGCTTGAGGGTAATGGTATATAAAAAGGCAAAAAAAGTGAAGTAGAAAAGCAAAATAGGCTTTTTTTTTTTTTTTTCCTTCCTTCCCTTAATGCAGGGTGGGGAGGCAAGGACACAAATAATGCTGCTCTGAGTCAGGCTCCCTCGTGTGAGCTGGAGAGGAATACAACATCCCGCAGACCCGCTCCGAAACCTCAGCCTCCCTCCAGCCAAACATCAATGCTTGGAAATACATTAAAAAGAAAAAAAAATTACAAAAATAAAATTAAAAAGGGCTTTTTGACTCTAAAGGCAATTCCTGGAGCGCCATGCCACGCGGGCAGGCAGTGCCATCTTCCGTCGGGCGCGCCACACTGCACAGCCCTGGAAATGGGGGCTGGAAAAGCGGGATTGCATCACCCAGCCCGGCTCAAACCCTTCCCCTTGGAAAAATCCTGAACCAGCGGAGCTCCCACCCCTTCACACCCCAGCCAGCTCTGGCCACGGGGAGGTTTCCGCCGCTAGAGCACGCTTGCAACCCTCCATCATTACAGAATATATTTTATTTATGGAATTTTACAAATAACTTTACAATTCACATGACATAAGTTATGTTCTTTGTTTCAACGCGTATCTCTTACAACACCTGAGTTATTGAAATACTGAGATGGGACTTGAGCTTCGAACCGGACACGGGAAGGGAA